TGCTTCTTGTCCTGCCTTCAGGCGCCTTGGAGAATAGCTTGACTCCCTCTTCTTTAAAAAGTTTCGCATCAGGGTCTTCTCTGGAATGGCTGGCAGCTTAAGATGAAGCTCTTGTATCTACTCAGTTTCCACTTGAGAAATAATATGCAAGATTTTACAAGAAGGGAGGGGGGAAAAATCTCCTTTGGTAATTCTTTACCCTGATTGAATTTGCTGCTTAGAGTTTCTCAGATAAAGGTGTGGCCCTATAATTTTAATTAATAAGAAACAAGTATTATCACTTTATGAAATTGATTTATATATAAATAAAAGAAACATAGGATGTAAGCAGTCAGAAGATTGTCATTTTGAATGGGCTTCCCTAAGTTTCCCACCCCCAGATGGTGAGAGAAATCAAAAAAGCTAATTAGCAGAAAATTAAAATAAAACTGTGTAATTCACCCCATAACCTGATGTGAATCCACTCAACCTCTTCTTCCGCCCCATAGTCAGGATTTACTTAAGAGTTGACACTTAGCTGAAATGGGCGGCATAGAACTATGATAAATTAAATAATAGGTTAAGAAAGGACCGGAAGCAGGTGGAACCACTGTAACTCCAGAAACAGAAACCTATATAAATCAGAGTTTGTGAGGAAAGCTGAGAAGTGGTTGTGATTGTTTCCTGAATCTAAGATAATCAGCCGAGTGCTGCAGGCAACCAGCTTTTTCTCTCCAATATGTTGTCTTTTGTGTTTGTGGGGTATGTGGCTTGTTTTATTTCTCATTTTAAAGGCCAGAGAAGGAAGGTTTGGAAAAGTGTCTAGCTTTTGTTTTGGAAGGTTAGAAAAACTCTTGATTCCAAAGGTGAAGTCTTTTTAAATTAGGAAAGCTGAGAAAACCGGCCTTGGAGTACGATTAAAAACCAGACCTGAATGTTTGGAATTTGGAGAGGGCTGTGTGTTGGATATAATTTCCAAATGCATTAGTGAAGTTATGCTTTGTTTGGAGACAGTGTGAAACAGAACTATTATTTGAACAGAGTTTATTTTTTAAGGTGGCACAAATGTGTGCACAATTGATAGAATTGTGAAGTATACTTCACAGCTAAGCTCTGTTCTTGTAAGCCAATATTCTGGGTTCACAACATACCCAACACTCCAAATTGACCATAGGTTGGGTTTTCACAGCCTGTAGGTTAAATTATCTTTGGTTACTTTGGGGTTTAGAGGGTCCTGTCAACACAGTCATGGTCAGTTCATGGTTAGGTTTTGTAACCAAGTGGGATAGCAATGAAGTCTTTCCTCTAAGACAGAACAATAGAGTTAGAAGGGACCTTGGAGGTCTTCTAGTCCAACCCCCTGCTCACTATATTATTTCAGACAAATGCTTATGCAGTCTCTTCTTAAAAGCCTCCAGTGATGGAGCACCCACAACTTTTGAAGGCAAGCTGTTGCACTGGTTTATTGTTTTCACTAAGACCTGTGGACTTCAACTCCCAGAATAACTGGCTATGGAATTCTGGGAGTTGAAGTCCACAAGTTTTAAAGTTGCCAAGATTGGACACCCCTGTTATAAGACCTAATTTATCCCACTTTCTGCTCTCTCTCAGTAACCAATATTTTATACTTGCAACACAGGCTTGCGCTGTAGTTCTCTGCTTGGAGATTTTACCTCTTTTTATAGTGCTGGAAACCAGGAGAACTGATGTTATTGTGTGTAGCTCCTGTGTACACTTGTTACCAGAAGATCCATGTTAGAGAAATACTGTGAATGTGTTGATAGTGTTCCCAAAACCAGAAGCCTTGGAGAACATTTCATGATGATTTCCATCATCCCTTTGCTTGTTGGTAGGGGCTGACAGAAACTTTTTAAAAATAATTTTTATTAATTTATGAATTTTCATGACTGCTGGCCGTTGCCTTATTTCTAGGGCTGAGAGTTTGTGGCTGGCCCAAAGTTACCCGGCTGGTTTTGTGCCCAAGGCAGGACTAGAACTCAGTTTCCCATTTTCTATTCTGATGCCTTGACCACTACACTAAACTGGCTTTCTTTGAGTTAATAGAACCAATCAAAATATTACCTATTATGTGTTTGGATTTTTTCAACTTGGCAGTTCCCAGATACCAGAAATCTATGGCAAGCAAACCTTATGCTCCAAGATGCTCTAACAAAAGCTCTTGATGTTAAAACTGCTTTATTGTCTCTTCTTCACAAGCCTTTAATATTTAAAGATGGCTCCCTTTGTATTCTGTCTGAAACATATATCGATGCCTAAAGTAATTTGCTGGTTCAATTTACCCTTAGTTTCTACTATAGCTTTATGTTTTTTTCCTTGCCAGAAAAGATCACACACAAATTATTGTACCTACATTTCTTAATTTGTTCTCTGGTTTGAGATGTTGCAGGATACAGTTCCACCTCATCTTTTATCTGTAGCCTCATCCTTCTCTCCATCTCATCAATCAAAAGCAAAACTAATTTAATTTTTTTGCCTTTGTTTTTCCAATAGTATCCTATTCTACATATTGGAGAGCCAGGGAGTGGTGTCCATACCTTTTCCCACAGGTAAGCGTTGGTTCTGCAAGGGTGGTGAAAAACATCACTAATTTTATGTTTTAAATACAAATCAACCCAATTCACTCTTCTCAATCTTCTTGTATCATTCTTGTGCAAATCAGTGATGGTTATTGCCTCATTTTTTTTTAAAGGTTTAGCACTGCTGTCTTCAGCTGAAAATAGATGTGCACGGAAATGGCTGGAATAGGAGAAATCACTTGCAAAAATATAAATAGCATGCAGGAAGTAGCTATTGAATTTCTGTGCAGACTTAAGCTAATACATTAATAATCTAGAGCAGTGGTTCTCAACCTTTTTAATGCCGCGACCCCAACCGGTCGTAAGTCGAGGACTAAACCGGTCGTAAGTCGAGGACTAAATCGGTCGTAAGTCGAGGACTAAACCGGTCATAAATCGAGGACTACCCAACCGGTCGTAAGTCGAGGACTTTCCCTGCCCGGGAGCACTGCGCATGCGTGGTTCCGCCCCCTGCGCCGGCCGAGGCATAGCTGGCAAGCGGCAGAGACAGAGCAGGCCGACCACCAGCTAGCCCAGCCCAAGGGAGGTAAGGCACCCGCCGGAAAAGGGGAAAAAAATGGCAGACAAAAAAAATGGCGGACAAAAAAAATGGCGGACAGCCTTGCTTGGCGACCCCCATGAAATGGTCGATTGACCCCAAATGGGGTCCCGACCCACAGGTTGAGAACCACTGATCTAGAGCAGTGTTTCTCAACTGTGGCAAGTTTAATATGTGTGCACTTTAACTCCTGGAATTCCTCAGCCAGCGTGGATGACTGGGGAATTCTGGAAGTTAAGTCCAGGCATATTAAAGTTGAGAAATACTGCAAAAAAAAAATAAATCAAGAGGAGAGCATTAGAATAAGAAATCAAATTTTGCAGGACTGCCTGTGGCATTGGCTCAAAGCACAAATTAACCTGAATCCTCACAAACCCTATTATGGTTTAATGCAATGCGTGAAGCCAGTTCCAAGAATTTCCAGAGGTGATCAATATATTTGAGTTTATGAAGGCAGCAAGGAAATAGTTTTCTTGAAGCCACAAAGATCTCAGGGATGGGGAGGGGTTAGATGTTTGTTTGTTTGTTTGCTTATTATAAAAAAATATTTCCTTTTCTGAAAGGGGCTGTACGGACTGAATGTCGGGACCGCTATTTTTGGGTATGGCTGGACAAGTCTGCACTGGGGCAAAGCTCTTGGAGTTACAGTGTCTTCAGTAAGTAAATGGGCTGGTAAGGATTCAAGAACGGTTGCAGGAACTGGGCATGGCTAGTCTAGTGAAGAGAAGGACCAGGGATGACATGATTAGCAGTGTTCCAATATTTGAGGTGCTGTCACAGAGAGGAGGGGATCCACCTATTTTCCAAAGCCTCTCAAGGCAGGACAAGAAACAACAGATGGAAACTTATCAAGGAGAGAACCAACCTAGAACCAAGGAGAAATAACCCTAACCTATTTTCCAAAGCATCTGAAGGCCAGACAAGGAACAATGGATGAAAAAAGATCGAGGAGAGACTCAACCTAGAAATAAGGAGATATCTTCTGACAGTGAGAACAATCAACCAATGGAACAGTTTGCCTTCAGATGTCGTGGGTTCTTCATCACTGGAAGCTTTCAAGAAGAGACTGGACAGCCATTTGTCAGAAATGGTATAAGCAGAGGGTTGGACTAGAAGATGACCTTCCAACTCTGTTATTCTATTCTATTCTATTCTATTCTATTCTATTCTATTCTATTCTATTCTATTCTATCCCTATCCCTATCCCTATCTCTACTCTACTCTACTCTACTCTACTCTATTCTATATTCTCTATACTCTATACTCTATACTCTATACTCTATACTCTATACTCTATACTCTATACTCTATTCTATTTTCCATTCTATTGTCTGCTCTAAAGCTTAGGTCAAGCTTACTCATTTCTTAGTGGCAGAAATAATTAATGGCAGAAATAAAGACACATTCCCTTGTTCCTGAGTTGGAGTCAACTAAATTAAACATAACAAATTATTATAGTTCTAAAACCTTAGTGTAGCCTTGGAAGGGACCTTGGAGGTCTCCTAGTCCAGCCCCCTGCTCAAGCAGGTGACCCTAAACTATTTCAGACAAATGGCTGTCGAATCTTTTCTTGAAAATCTCCAGTGTTGGATCACCCACAACTTCTGGAGGCAAGTCGTTCCACTGGTTGACTCTTCTCCCCATCAGGAAATTTCTCCTCAGTTCTAGGTTGCTTCTCTTCTTGATTAGTTTCCATCCATTGCTTCGTGTCCTGCTTTTAGGTGCTTTGGAGAATAGGTTGACCTCTTTGTCATTGTGGCAGCCCCTGAGATATTGGAACACTGCTATCATGTCACCCCTCGTCCTTCTCTTCATTAAACTGTGATGGTAAGCAGAAGCTGCTGCTAACTGGCTTGGATGATGAATTTGTTTCTTTCTTTCCCTAGATGAACTCGGCCAGCGTATCTCTTTGACTGATAACATCGCTACTCAGTGTGGGTTCACCCATGGCGTTGACCTCTATGGAAATCCAGAAATCCGTATCTCATTCCTGGCTTGTTCCGTCCGCAATATGGTAAGATTTATGCCCTATCCTGCTTGAAGTTGGGCAGGAGAGTTTATAAACCAGATTCTGTAGGAAGAATGGAAATCTTCCCCAAGAAATCCAAGGCCTATTCAGATTTTGGAAAAAAACAAGGATTTCCTCCTGCCTCCTTGGAGAAGAGATCACAAAGGAAATTTGAAAGCTTAAGGCTACATTGGGAATTTAAAAACCCATAATCATTGCCAGTTGGCCTGGGCACCCAATGGAGGAGTTTCACACTGGAGGTGGCTGCTAGATTGATGGCAGACTCCACGCACACCTTGCTCTCTGTTCTCTACCCATCCATCTTTTTGGTTATCACATTGATGCATTATTCTCGTTGTTTTCCTCTGTCATTGTTTGTTTTATTCTATTATTTAAAACTCGGTTCTGTTTACATTCCTTTCATTTTCTTCCTTTTTATTATTGTAAGCCACTTAGAGCAGTGGTGGCGAACCTATGGGACGGGTGCCAGAGGCGGCACTCAGAGCCCTCTCTGTGGGCATGCGTGTCGTAACCCCAGTCCTAGGCCTTCAGCTGGGTTTTATAAAACCTTTTCACTTTAGGCCTCTGCCGCCATGTGCAAAAAAAAAAAAAAGGTTCAATAAGTCAATTTCAATTTCTCGCGGGAAAAAAAAGTTCTTGCAAAGTTGGAATTGATTGATTGAACTTTTTAGTCCCACCCAGTCTGCCATTACCACTGCAGCCATGCCCACCCAATTGGTCACGCCCAGCCAATTGGCCACGCCCAGCCAATGGACCACACTCGACGATGCATAAGTGGGTTTTGGGTTGCAGTTTGGGCACTCAGTCTCTAAAAGGTTCGCCATCACTGACTTAGAGTAACCCCACAGTGAGATAGATGGCAAATAAATTACAAATAAATATTGTAAAAAATAAAACTCTCGCAAAAATCAAACAAACAAACAAACAAACAAACAAACAAATAAATAAATAAATATTACAGGTAGTCCTTGACTTACAACTGTTCATTTAGTGACTGCTCAAAGTTATGTCATTGAAAAAAAAGTGACTTATGGACCATTTTTCACACTTACGACCATTGCAGCATCCCCATGGTCACGTGATCAAAATTTGGATGCTTGGCAACTGGTTGATATTTATGACAATTGCAATATCCCAGGATCATATGATCCCATTTTGTAACCTCCTGACAAGCAAAGTCAATGGGGAAGCAGACAGAAATTTTGGACTCAGTTAGGGTTATACGTTGAGGACTGCCTCCAAGTCATTACAAGCATATTAAGACAAAAGTAAAAGTGCTCTCAGATCAAGCTTGACTCATGATGATTGCATTTTTGAAGTTCTGGAGCAGTTTTTGAGAGTTCCTTGCCGCCTCCTGAGGTGTCCTTTTAAATTCTCAATCCAGCCTTAAGCTTTTAAATTTCTCTCGTAGTCCCTTATCCCAGGGCTTTTCAACCAGTGGTACAGGTACCACCTGTGGTACATTGGCACCTGGCAGGTGGTACGCGACCATCCTAGAAATGTGGTAGCGGGGGACGGGAATGAGCTGAACCGGTGGCAGCACCGCACAAGCCTGAGCGAGAGATGGCTGGAGCTGCAGGGCTGTCAGGGCTCAGCGGAAGCGCCAGGATCAGTGCTGCTTTCCAGCTGATCGGCGCTTCTTCGGGGCTGTCAGGGCTCAGCAGAAGCGCTAGGATCAGCGCCAGGCTCCAGCTGCAGCTCGGCGCTGATCCTGGTGCTTCTGCTGAGCCCAGAAGAAGCGCCAATCAGCTGGAATGTTGCAGCATCTCCAGAGTCTTGTGATTTACATTCGGATGCTTGGCAACTGATTCATATTTATGATGGTCACAGTGTCCCAGGGTCATGTGAAGTGACCAAAACCTGCTGCAACCACCCAGCAGACGGGGGGAATAAAAACCAAGCACCCCCCACCCCACCCCCGCTGCCAATCCTCAACAGAAATGCTCACAACAATGAAAACATCGGACAGGAGGAAGAGCGCCACCTGGCAGGCAGGCAGGTAGCTGTCTTGCTTGGCTGTGGCTTGGGGGGCACTTTTTTCAGTGCCATTGTAACTTCGAACAGTCACTAAGTGAACTGTTGTAAGTCGAGGACTACTTGTACTTCATCACTTTTTTTCTTTTCTTTTTTTTTTTGGGTCATCAAGTTTTTGACACCTTGCTAGGCAACGGGTGGCACTCGGATGTTGACATATCCTAAACGTGGTACAATGGGTGAAAAGGTTGAAAAGCCCTGGACTAGATGACCTCCAAGGTCCCTTCCAACTCTGTTATTCTATTCCCATTCCTATTCCATTTGAGACATTTTATTCATAGCAAATATTCTTTAAATCCCCTTGCTCAGTTTGACCAGGATTTCAGCCTCCGGCTCCAGGTGGAAGTTACCAGCCTTGATAACATAACTGCTGCTTATGAAGTGTCCATGAATTGTCTCCTTGATGCCCCATGGAGCCCTCGTGAGATTGTTTGTGAGGAGAATTACATGGAGGTGAGTAAAATAAGGCTCATCCATTTATTTGTCAGGGAACTGTGCAGCAGGTGTCCAAATGGGGAGTCAAACTTATAGTTTTGTATAACTAAATGTATTTTAATGTCTATATCAGGGATAGGCAACCTTGGCTCTTTTATGACTCGTGGCTCAGGAATTCTGGGAGTTGAAGTCCACGAGTCATAAAAGAGCCAAGGTTGCCTACCCCTGGTCTATATATACAGCAGACAAGATAGTCAGGCACATCACTACTCCCTGAGGTAAATGATCAGATAAATCTCAGCATGGTATACGGAGCCTACAGAAGAAAAAGACAGAGAGAAAAAGGGAAACTCTCCCTTTACACCCACAGCAACCAATCACAATGCAGATTGCCTCGCTCATGAGCCAGCACTCTTCAACCAATCAACTTATAACAGTGTGTTCTACTCATTGTACAACTTCACTGTTCCAGCTACTAAATTTAAATAACATTATTGAGGTAGTTTGATGTACCTAAATGGAATTTCTGGTTGCTTAGATTAAATCAGTTGAGTTTGCACAATATGCTAGCATGCTATTTTTTTAAAAAAAAATAGTGTCTCTGCATAGATACTGAACCACTTAAATATGAGTGGGCTGCAGCTGCCAAAAAAAACCCAATACAGTGGCAGGCTGCATCAATGGGGGATAGTATCAAGGTCACATGAAGTGTTAGTCCTGCCTTATACTGCTTTGCTAAGACCAGCCTTGGAACACGGCGTCCAGTTTTGGTCACCACGAAGCAAAAAAGATGTTGAAGCTCTAGAAAGAGTGCAGAGAAAAGCAACTAAGATGATTAGGGGGCTGGAGATTAAAACATATATAGAATGGTTGCAGGAATTGGGTATGTCTAGTTTAATGAAAAGAAGGACTAGGGGTGAAACGATAGCACTGTTCCAGTATTTGAGGGGCTGCCACAAAGAAGAGGGGGTCAACTTAATTTTCAAAACATTTGCAGGCAGGACAGGAAGTAATGGGTGGAAACTTATTAATGAGCGATCCAACCTAGAACTAAAGAAAAATTTCCTGACAGTTAGAATAGTTAATCAGTAGAATGACTTGCCTCCAGAAGTTGTGGGTGCTCCATCACTTGAGGTTTTTAAGAAGAGATTGGACAGCCATTTGTCTGGAATGGCATAGGGTCTCCTGCTTGAGCAGGGAGGTGGATTAGAAGACCTCCAAGATCCCTTCCAATTATGTTATTCTGAGGTAGATATAGACGTGGGTATTCAGCTGCTAATGTTTCCGCTCCAGGTTTCTGTCCGGCGGGCTGTCCCAGGAAGAGCAAGTGAGGCCTTGAATGAAGATTGGATGGCAGTGTGGCCTGTGGTAAGGATGCTGGCCGCAGTGGGGGCAGAGTTGTATTAATGTTGGGGTAATAGAAAGGGGAAATATGTGGTGGAATTGATGTAATTGATGCTGGCTGGGCAATTCTGGGAATTGACGTCCACACATCTTCAAGTTTTCAAAGTTGAGGAACATTGAAGTAGACATTAAGATTCTCCAGATGTGGGGGCTTCAGCTTCCAGAATCCTCAGCAATGGCTCCATTGGTGGGAAATTTGGGAAGCTGGCATTTATACATCTCAATGATACTTGGTTTAGAGAAGGTGGCACCCTTCTGATCTCCTTCTTCCTTCAACTGGAGAGGTACCACTACAGGCTTGTATTAGAATTCTGGCTTTAGAGTTAGATGTAGCTGTATAGGAATGCGAAGGAGACATGTTTGCTTCTGGCAGCTGCCTTAGACTCCACAGCATCTACCTGTGTTTTCCCCAAAATAAGACCAGGTCTTACATTCATTTTTGCTCCAAAAAACACATTAGGGCTTATTTTACAGTTATGTCTTATTTGGGGGGAAATATGGTACTAAATGCGTCCATCTGGCTGACAATTTTAACTGAAGCTTATTTTTGGGGTAGGGCTTATATTACGAGCGTCCTGAAAAATCATGGCTAGAGCTTATTTTCCAGTTGGGTCTTATTTTCGGGGAAATACGGTATATTGGTGGCTTCACTGACGCATGAACTTCCTGGTTGGAGACTTCATAAAAGCTTGCATCTCCTAGAACAGTGGTGGCAAACCTATGGCACGGGTGCCAGAGGCAGCACTCAGAGCCCTCTCTGTGAGCACGCACGCCGTCGCCACAGTCCTAGGCCTTCAGCTGGGTTTTATAAAACATTTTCGCTTTAGGCCTCCGCCGTCATGTGCAAAAAAAAAAAAAAAGGTTCAATCAATCAGTCAGTTTCAACTTCTCGTGGGGAAAAAAAAAGATCTTGCAAAGTTGGAATTGATTGATTGAACTTTTTAGTCCCACCCAGTCTGCCATTACCACCGCAGCCACGCCCGCCCAATGGGCCACACCCATCCAATTGGCCACACCCACCCAGTGGGCCACACCTAGCCAATGTGCCACACCCACCCGGCACCCGACAACGCATAACTGGGTTTTGGGTTGCAGTTTGGGCACTCGGTCTCTAAAAGGTTCGCCATCACTGGGCTAGAAGAATCTGTAGCACACCGTTAATTCTTCCCATTTCAACAGAAGAAGCATCGCACTTGATGAACGTAGCATGAAATGCCATTCAGCAAATATTGCAGCTTCCTCAAAACGTGTTTTCTTCATCAATGGAAGCCTCAAGCAGGACCTGTATCTCTGAACATCTCCTTCCTTCCTCCTCTGTGTTTGTCGTTGTAGGCTCAAGGGGCAATGAACCAAGTCTGGCAAGTGGTTTTCCATTTCCAAAATGGCGCCACTGAGAACATGACAGCTACCCACGCTTATAGCTTGGGCTATGGCTTCAATACAACAGCTACCCGTGTTCTCTTCCGCACCCCTTACAACACCCAGCAGACCGAAGTGGCTATGGTAAGAGAAGGTCCAATGTTTACTAAGATTCAGAACCAGGTCTGGTGGCAGAGGTGTGGCTGAGATAGAAGCCAAGCATTGTTTTGAAGAGCCTCACACCAAACTGACTCCGGTTTGGTTCACACAATAGATAAGGCGAAGATGTGGCTGGTTCGTCTACTCAGCTGCCTGATTAGTTTATGGTTCAGGGTATTCTGTGATCAAACCATGTTTCAGTTGACCATGGGTTAGGCTTCCAACTATGAAGAGCCACAGGTCGTAGTATATAGATAGTCCTCGAATTGCAACCATTCGTTTAGCGACCTTCGAAGTGATAATGGCGCTGAAAAAAAAGCGACTTATGACCATTTTTCACACTTAAGACCATTGTGGCATCTCTATGGTCACACGATCAAAACTCAGAAGCTTGTCAACTGGCATGTATTTAGGAGGGTTGCACGCGATCACCTTTTGTGACCTTCGGATGAGCCAAGTCGATGGGGAAGCAGATTCACTGAGCAACTGTGTTACTAACGTTAACAGCTGCCGTGATTCCCTTAACAACTGTGGAAAGAAAGGCCGTAAAATGGAGCAAAACCTCAGCCAAGGGGTGTAAAAGCTCACCTGATCTGAGTTGCTTAGGTGTTGGCACCAGGATAAACTGCGCCTCCGGGCTATTCCTTCCACTGTAGGTGCAGGGCTTGGAAGTGAGAGTAGCCCGAGCCACCATCTTCTATAAACAGGCCTGGATGATCCTGATTGTGGACACTGCTGTGGCCTGCCCTGTCAGTGAGTCGCTTTGCTTTCTTTTTTTTCCTGTCCCTCGATAGTTAACAGAGGATAACAAGGTGCTTCCCTCTTCCAATTGTGGACTGTGGGCAAGTCTTTCTTCCCCTTTTCCTTCCTCTTTCTACTTTTTCTTCCTTCCTCTCCCTTACCATCCCTCCTACCTCTTTCCCTTCCCTCTTCTCTCCCTTTCCACTCCCTCCTTCCCTCCCCCTCCTTCCCATTTTTCCTTCTTTCCTCCCGCTTTTTCTTCCTTCCTTTTTCTTCCTATCTCCCTCCCTCTTTCTCTCCCTTCTTCCCTCCCTTCCTCTCTCTTTCTCTTTCCATCCCACCTTCCCACTTTCCTCCCTTCCTCCACTTTTCCTTTCTTCCTTTTTCTTTTCATCTCTCCCTCCGTCTCTTTCCCTCCCTCCTCTCTCTCTCTCTCTTTCTTTCTTCCCTCCCTTCCTCTCTTTCTCTTTCCATCCCACCTTCCCACTTTCCTCCCTTCCTCCCACTTTTCCTTCCTTCCTTTTTCTTTCCATCTCTCCCTCCGTCTCTTTCCCTCCCTCCTCTCTCTCTCTCTCTTTCTTTCTCTCTTTCTTTCTTCCCTCCCTCCCTCTTTCTCTTTCCATCCCACCTTCCCACTTTCCTCCCTTCCTTCCACTTTTCCTTCCTTCCTTTTTCTTTCCATCCCTCCATCTCTTTCTCTCCCTCCCTCCTCTCTCTCTCTCTCTCTCTCTCTCTTTCTTTCTTTCTTTCTTTCTACCCTTCCTCTCTTTCCCTCCTTCCTTCCCTCCCTTCCTCCTTTCCTTCCTTCCTTTCCTCCCTTCCTCCACTTTTTCTTCCGTTTTCCCTCCCTCCCTCCCTCCCTCCCTCCCTTCCTTCCTTCCTTCCATCTGTCATGAATTACAGATAGAGAATAAAAGAATAAAGAGAATAAAAAACAAGATATAAATCCTTCAAAAAAGAGCAGCCAAAAATACTGACAAACTAAAATACCAGGCAAAGGGTCCATCCCCCCTTTCTAATCCGAAGCCTAGCAGAAGAGGCAAATTTTAAGAGCTGGATCTTCCCAGCAGAGTTTTACTGAGACCACGTATGCCATCTACCCTTAAATTCAGTGTTCGACCCCACACATTCACCTTCTGTCTCCTGCAGACCCTCCCACTTTTAGCACCACCGCCTTGCGCTGGACCACGCCACGGATCATGCCGTCGCTGGTGAAATTCCCCCTTCAGTTCGAAGATGAGGCCATTGAAATGGGTGTGGACGGGCGCAGAATTGATAGTAGCACGATTGTGCGGAATGGGTACAGCTTCCTGACAGACGCCGACTTCATCAGCATCACAGTCCCGATTGGAGCCGCAGGAGGAATCACCGAGGTCCGTGCTGGGGAGTGGTCCTTTCCCTAGGGGTGGCTGTTAGCCTTTCAGACAAGCCATCCCAAAGGAGCTTTTTCAAAAGGAAACTGGACTTTGTTTTTCTTTGAAGACATTTTGCTTCTCATACAAGAATCATCATCATCATCATCATCATCATCATCATCATCTTCTTCTTCTTCTTCTTCTTCTTCTTCTTCTTCTTCTTCTTCTTCTTCTTCTTCTTCTTCTTCTTCTTCTTCTTCTTCTTCTTCTTCTTCTAGTTCTTCTTCTTCTGCTGCTTCTTCTACTTCTTCTTCTAGTTCTTCTTCTTTTCTCCTCCTCCTCCTCTCCTCCTCATTCTTCTCCTCCTTCTCCTTCTCCTCCTCCTTCTTCTCCTCCTTCTCCCTCTCCTTCCTCCTCCTTCTCCCTCCTTGAGCTTCAAGGAGAAACAAAGTCCAGTTGCCTTTAGAAAAAGCACCTTTGGGACAACCATGATCTGGATGACTGAGAATCTCTACAGACTTTTAGACAAGAGGCTCAGAATGCATTATAACATTGGTTTGTTCCTTTCCAGAGTGACGTGATCGACAATCGTTATGGCACCATGTACAGCATCAAACTCCTCCTGGACCGCAGATGGCGAGGAGATGAAAGTGACCGGACCCGTCATCGGATCTTCAAGTTTATCCGCGCACCCTTTGCCCCACAGATACCGGTGCTCATTGACAGTAAGTTCTGCATCACGTTTGGCTTTTCCTAGAACAAAGTGAGCTGGCTTATGGAAGACAGATGGTGGAACAGAGGTTTAAGGTTGCATGGTGATGTTCAGTCATGTCCGAATCTTGCAGATTCTGTGGGCCAAGACTCTTCGCATCTTCCTATCTTGCACTACTTCTTTAAGTTGTTCTATGCTCTGGTGTCAGCTTTGATAGTGTAGGATCATGTAGCAAAAATTAAAATCTTGTTTGGATTGAGCTCATCTCAAAGTCTTATATTTATTTTGCTCACACGGTGCAAGGATTGATTTTCCTTTCCCGTCTCACCCAAAGGTGCATTTTTGAGAGGCAACTGAACTTCCTTGTTTTTCTTTGAAGATGTTGTGCTTCTTATCCAAGAAGCTTCTTCAGCTCTGACTGGATGGTGGGGAATGGAAGGAGTTATACTCCTTGCAGACAGCTGGTCATTTGCATTCTTTTAGAGAGTCGTTGAGGCCACCTGGAGGTTTATTTGTGCCCTCAAGGTCACCTGAGTGATGCAAATGGATACAACATCCTCTATCTCCAGTCTACAACTCAGTCCTTCCAGCAGTTCCAGGAAAGCTCTACACCCATTTGCACCACTCAGGACACAAATAAACCTCCAAGTGGCCTCAATGACTCTAAAAGGCAAATGACCAGCTGTCTGCAGGAGTATAAATCCTTCCATTCCCCACCATCCAGTCAGAGCTGGAGCAGCTTCTTGGATGAGAAGCGAAACATCTTCAAAGAAAAACAAGAAAGTCTAGTTGCCTCTGGAAAAAGCACTTTTGGGACAACCGTGATCTGGATGACTCCATAGTCCTTCCAGTCTCACCTTGCTGTTTCTGGTGGTTTCCTCTCCTATTATTAAAGAAGCCCATAGTCCCTTTAGCTTCTGAATTTAGTCAGGTTCCGCCGTGTGGTTCATGTACTGAAGATCTAAACAAAACACTGGAAAAAGTTTTAAGTTGGTAACCCAGTGTTTCTGAACCTGGGTCACTTTAAGAAAAATAAACTTCAACTTCCAGAATTCCCTCCTAGCCAGTAAGCTCTGGCTCACCTCTTTTAAAGTGACCCAGGTTAAAAAAAAATGACTTCTGGGACTGGTTCCTACCATATACTTTTAAAAAAAGTTTTATTGGTTTTTTAATTCTTAAAACAAAGTGCTTGAGACACACCGTGGTGCTGGCTTAATCAAGCATCCAAAAATAAAACCATATATGAATAGCTCAAATCAATACATCAAATATTCCCTCTCTATTTCCCTCAAATAGCATAATATATTTAAAATAATCCATTTCTAGATTTCTATAAATCCTAAACCTGTTTTAGAGCATTATGAATTTACAATTACCATAATCAAATTTAACCTTAAATAAATACATTCTCACTTCAGGTATCCCTTCTAGGTGCAATCTAATTCTTGATCTCTTAAATCCTTAATTTTATCACAAGTCTCATTTATTTCTTCTTTTACTACACAATATTTATCCTAATTAAAATAAAATATTAGTCTACCCTATACATATAGTCCATCAATCAATCAATCAATCAATCTCTTTAACATAGCAAAATAATATCAAACCTTAAATCATTTCCGTCCATTAAACAAAATTCAAATTCCAACCAAATAATTATCATACCTAAGAACACCCATGTTATCACACAAAAACATCAACTTGCTAATTTAACATAATCAATTAATTATTGAGTCAATCCAGATCTAAAAAGCCTCTTCAAATTTCTTCATTCCATTACATAGTAGTTTTCATAGAAATAAACTTATTATTCCAAGAAGTACATTCTTAATCTATTTAAGATATATATTCTAATAATCACCCATTTTTCTCTTACTTCTAACTCTAAATCTTAATCCTTAAATCAGTCCATAATTCTACAGTGCCTTTTAATACATTACATATAATTTCAAATTTCTTTTTTCAGTCTTATTCTGGCCTTCTTTTTGTGCCTGGCAGGTTTCCATAACAAAGCTTCCCTTTCAATCGATATATGTCCTTTTGTTGTTTGTAGTATCATTTGAATCAGTAAAAAGCATCCCATCCTCTGGATTGGGCGTCTATTTCTCTTGTCCTTAAAGCCTCGTTGCTTTAAAGGTTCAAATCTCAGTCTTTGGTTCTTCTGATCCTCAAAGATGTAGATGAAATGCTTATAAGGTGAAATAAATTCCTCTTTAATACCTTTTTTGATTTTATTAGAAGTGGTAGCATTTGCAAAGATGAAGTGTCAACAAAATCTAAATCAGTGCTTTCTAAATTAGTGACTTGAAGATATGAGGACTTCAAATCCCAGACTTCTCCAGTCAGTAACTGGGGCCCCAGCTGTTTTGACTCTCAAAAAAGGAGTGCTCTTTCAATTGGGTGGCCATATTTTCTTTATTTACAATGGACCTCAATTTACAACCATTTATTTAATTTAAGGTTACAACGGCACTGAAAAAAAGTGACTTATGACCATTTTTCATACTCACAACTGTTCTATGGTCGTATGATCAAAATTCAAATGCTCGGCAACTGGCATGTACTTAGGACGGTTGCAGTGTCCCGGGGTCATGTGATCATCTTTTGTGACCGTCTGACAAGCAAGGTCAACGGAGAAGCCAGATTCACTTAACAACCAAGTTACTAACTTTAACAAGTTCAGTCTGGATTCACAATTAATAATTGTGATGGCAAAGGTTGTAAAATGTCTTGCTTAGCATGGAAATTTTGGGCTCCGTTGTCGTAAGTGGAGGACTACCTGATCTCTCTGTCATCCCAACTACATCTGGGAAATTGTTGTAGGTGTAGTTTTCTCCAGCTGAAACCTCTGGTTCTCCTTAGACACGGTTCCAGAGAATGGCTACTTCGACGTCAGCATAGGGAACTTCCTCGCCGATGTGGAACTGTCTGCCGTTGCGATAGGCGGCAAACTCTTAACGCCACCAGAAATCAAAGGATATGGCTGCACCCTGGAGGAAGTCCCCAACGCCAACCACACCCGAGTTTTCATTCTCAAGGTCCCTTTCTCCAACCCGCTGGTGGAACAGAAGGTAAGACGGGAAGTTGCATGGCGACTTTCAGGAGACGGCTTTTGCCCAAGTGGCAGACATTTGCAGCTTTGATTGTGCCAAGGTGCTTGTCCCTCTTGCTCAAATGAGTTGATAACATCAAGCTTACTAAGTTGAGTTGCACTCATCTTTTGTGAAAGGTCAGAGCATGTTCCTTGGGCTCTTTTTTTTTCCTTAGGTAAGCTTTCCTTAAAATCACATCCTGCAGGCATGTATGATCACAGTTTCTCTAAGCCCCGGCCATTCAGGTGAGGGAATCATGGGATTTGTTGTCTACTCTACACCCTGCTGGAGGACACTAAAATATTGCATAATCTTGACCTTCCTGTGCAAAATAATAACCTAGGAACTTGTAGGTGAACCAAAGGGTATGCACATTTGTTCAGTTTAACAAGTGAACCTGATCTGCTTATTATGCTAAGCCCTAACAAAATTGGTTTTAACAGTGAATCTCCTCGCTATGAGTTATACAAGCAGTCCTGTTTAGTGACCGTTCAAAGTTACCTTGGCCTTGAAAAATGGGATGTACAACGGAGCCTAACACAGCCGTCCTAGCCTCCTCAGGGTCAAGTGATCAGAATTTCGGCACCTGTATTTAGGATAGCAGGGGATCCCTATATGCCAGTGGTGGCGAACCTATGGCACGCATGCCAGAGGTGGCACTCAAAGCCCTCTCTGTGGGCACGTGCACCATTGCCCCAGCAGAGTTTGCTAGAGTAGCGAGCACGTGGCGTTTGGAAGCGACAGGGCAGGAAGTGAGTGAGCAAGCGGCGTTGGCCTCCCGGGGATGCCCCAGAGATGGCAAGGGACTGGCCTTGGCCATGCTCACCCAGTCTGCCGTGACTTCAGCCACGCCCATCCAGTGGGCCATGCCCCCCAACCCCGCTGAGAGCACCATAATGCTGATGTAGCCCTGGCACTTTGCGATAAGTAAGTGGGTTTGGGGTTGCAGTTTGGGCACTCAGTCTCTAAAAGGTTCGCCATCACTGCTATATGCCAATGAGTTTGTATGAACTTTTTTCTCTTGTAGTATCTGTATGGCAACATCAGGAAATACACTCTGCACCTTGACTATACATTTTTCCTGCTCCCAAAGGGCAAGTCGTTTACCCATCCTGGAATAATTGAATGCGAAGTTGCTGATGTAGGTGAGTCTGCTTGGCCAAGCGGATCCAGAGTGCTTAAAAGTTATCTCCATCCAGTAAGATCAGGGGTAGGGAACAATGACATGTTTATGACTTGTGGACTTCAACTCCCAGAATTCCTGAGTCAGCATGGCTGGCTCAGGAAATCCTGGGAGTTGAAGTCCTCAAGTCATAAAGAAGGCCATCGTTCCCCACCTTTTGAGTTTGATGGTCTTTTGGGGCTGTAGCTTTAGAAAGAAGTGCTTCTGATTTTCCAAGTTCTAATGTTTCTTCCTTGATCGTCACTGCTTTATCAGGTCGTACTTCATGGATCCTGTAGGGTAGGGAGAGAGAAAAAACCGTGAGAGTATTTTATTTTTGAAACCCTTCCTTGATGCCAAGGATATTTCAATATTTGCAAAGGAATCTGGTGACATTGTTAACTCTACCTCACTGGCAAATGGGAGAAATTGGGGATGATAGCCCCATCTGTATGACATGGAGCCACACTTACTGTTAAGTTTGGTGCTCGGTGAGGCATCCACGAGGCAGCAGGTGAACAAACAACTCTTTATTTAAGGCAGACATGTCAAACACAAGGCCCGGGGGCCGGATGCGGCCCGCGACGTGGTTTCGTGTGGCCCGCGAAGCCATCCTGGAAACAGTGAGGGAACGGCCCCCGCTGCCTTGGCCCTGGCCCAGGCCGACCGGGAGGAAGCCAATGTACAATTTTGTGGTGGCCATCTATGCTGAAACGCATTCAGTCTTAGCTCCACAAGGCCGTCTGGAAACAGCGAGGAACCAGCCCCTGCCGCATTGGCCCTGCCCCCTGGGTGCATGCTGGGGAGGTGTCACCCTTTGTGAGGAATGAAGAAATGGACCATGCCTTGGCGCTTGCCCCTGTCACACCCCCTTCTGCCAGAGACCCTCAGATCTGTCCCACTCCTGCCCAGGCCCCCACAGGCACCTTTGATACGAATGATGTAGAGCTGGCCATGCCCACCCAGTAGGCCGCACCCACCCTGACCACACCCACCTGACCCCCCAAGGGCAGCCGCAATGCTGATACGGCCCTCAATGAAATTGAGTTTGCCACCCCTGATTTAAGGTTTAAACCAGCGGTTCTCAACCTATGGGTCGCGACCCCATTTGGGGTCAATCGACCATTTCACGGGGGTCGCCAAGCAAGGCTGTCTGCCATTTTTTTCCCCTTTTCCGGCGGGTGCCTTACCTCCCTTGAGCTGGGCCAGCTGGTGGTCGGCCTGCTCCGTCTCTGCCGCTTGCCAGCTACGCCTCGGCCGGCGCAGGGGGCGGAACCACGCATGCACGGTGCTCCCGGGCAGGGAAAGTCCTCGACTTACAACCGGTTGGGTAGTCCTCGACTTATGACCGGTTTAGTCCTCGACTTACGACCGGTTTAGTCCTCGACTTACGACCGGTTGGGGGTCACAGCATTAAAAAGGTTGAGGACCACTGGTTTAAACAGAAGCCCGGTTAACTACTGCTCCACCTCTATTTATACATTCAGCAATAGGCAACAGCCAATTGGATTAAGGTATCCTTCCTGCTTAACATATTATAATGAGTCTGCAGACAGCAAGTCTGGCACTTAACTGACAGAGTCTTATCACCTTTTTCAACTTTTCCAAGTAATTCACATCAATACATTATACTTACCACTTCAATATCCACTTGTTTACTGTGGTTCTCCTTCAGCCTCAAAACACTGTACATTTTCTGGCCATCAAACATTATCCATTCTGTCTACATTTTATGGCAGGTGTCCTTAAGACTTGTAGACTTCAATTCCCAGAATTCCTCAGCCAGCATGGCTGACTGGGGAATTCTGAGAGTTGAAGTCCACAAGTCTTAAAGTTCCCACGTTTGGAGATCCGTGTCTTATGGGAACCAGGCCAACTTGCCCTGTTCACCAAAGCCCCTTAAAATCAACTCTTATTGAGCAGGGAATGTGGAACTGACCTCAAATCTTTTTATTTTCCTTGCTGCATCTGATTGCTGCTCTTGTTCCCGTGTTCTCAGTTCTTCCCGTGTTTGAGGGCTTCTGCGATGGAGGACATATTGGCGTGGTCATGACCCACGGGACTCTGGATCGCTACTGGGTTCCTTATGTGGGTAACCTTCAACTGACAAATGAACTTGCAGTATCGCAGAATTACACCGTTCAAGATGATGGCAGCTACTTCTACCTGTTCGTGCCATTTTTGGCTACTGGCTTGATATACGAGGTGTGTGTGTATCACATTGGCTCCTGTAGATGACAGTTTCCAAGGAAAGAGACTTGGTGCATTATCCTACGTAGCTCATATTACACAGCTGTTAAAGATAACTATAGATTGAAGGCAGTCCAATACACATCTAGGCCCCGAACTAGTTGATTTATGGTGCATAAAATCCAATTAAAAAGGTATAAAATCCCCCTAATATAACCACCTTGGATGGAGAGCATGATTGTAGCCAGGTATCAGTGCTAACCAACCCTTCACTGTATATGAAATAAAAGATAAACATATTTCTTAATCTTTCATGAGGACAGAAAAATATTTTATATTGTAATAGATTTAGTGAGCCACATCTTGACTTTTATCTTTTCTTATATTTATCTAATGTTTTACCCTTCTCTATAGATTTTTTGCATATATACCTTTTTAAGTGTATTTTTAATGTGTACGTGTGACTGTAATAATAATAATAATAATAATAATAATAATAATAATAATAATAATAATAATAATAATAATAATAATAGTAAAGTTGGAAGGGGCCTTGGAGGTCATCTAGTCCAACCCCCTGCTCAGGCAGGAAACCCTACACCATTTCAGACAAATGGCTGTCCAGTCTCTTCTTAAAAACTTCCAGTGTTGGAGCATTCACCGCTTCTGGAGGCAGGTTGTTCCACTGGTTAATTGTTCTAACTGTCAGGAAGTTTCTCCTTAGTTCTAGGTTACTTCTCTCCTTGCTTAGTTTCCACCCGATGCTTCTTGTCCTGCCTTCAGGAGCCTTGGAAAATAGCTTGACTCCCTCTTCTTTGTGGCAGCCCCTGAGATATCTGTCTGTCTGTCTGTCTGTCTGTCTGTCTATCTATCTATCTATCTATCTATCTATCTATCGCCTGAAGGCAGGACAAGAAGCAACGGATGGATGTAAAAAAGATGTTGAGACTCTAGAAAGAATACAGAGAAGAGCAACAAAGATGATTAGGGGACTGGAGGCTAAAACATATAAGGAACGGTTGCTGGAATTGGGAATGTCTAGTTTAATGAAGAGAAGGACGAGGGGGGACATGATAGCAGTCTTCCAATATCTCAGGGGCTGCCCCAAAGAAGAGGGAGTCAAGCTATTCTCCAAAGCGCCTGAAGGCAGGACAAGAAGCAGCAGGTGGAAATTGATCAAGGAGAGAAGCAACCTAGAACTAAGGAGAAACTTCCTGACAGTTAGAACAGTTAACCAGTGGAACAACCTGCCTCCAGAAGCGGTGAATGCTCCAACACTGGAAGTTTTTAAGAAGAGACTGGACAGCCATTTGTCCAAAATGGTATAGAGTTTCCTGCCTGAGCAGGCGGTTGGATGACCTCCAATGTCCCTTCCAACTTATTATTATTATTATTATTATTATTATTATTATTATTATTATTATTATTATTATTATTATTATTATTATTATTAGTATCTCTCTATTTATCTCTCTCTCTCTCTCTCTCTCTCTCTCTCTATCTATCTATCTATCTATCTATCTATCTCTCTATCTATCTCTCTCTCTCTATCTCTATCTCACTCTCTAATTGTTTGTAGTCCATATTTTTTGTGCTGGCCTATGATCATTATAAATGATTTGAAAATGCCATTTCTATATGAACTACATCCAATACGTGAAAGGGTGTTCCAATGAAGAGGGCATGGATTTATTTTCTGTAGAGTAGGACAAATGGGAAGAAGCTCACCGAGGGAGATCCAAACCTGATATAAGGAGGATTTTCCTGATCTTGAGAGCTATGAAGCAATGGATCAGCCTCCCTCCTGGAAGGATGAGGTTCAATCACTGGCGGCTTCCAACCAAGCAAAGGTTGGACAGCCCCATAATGGTGGGATGATCTGAAGATCTCTGCTTTAGGCAGGGGGTTGGACTAAAAGACTTTGTGGAATATGTCTTCCAGCCCATTGATTCCATGAGAAGGAAGCCTAAAAGACAGTCACAAGCTTTCCTTCTGTCTTAAACCCAGAGAGCTTTTTAACTCATCATAGGCTAGATCAGACATGTCAAACACAAGGCCCGGGGGCCGGATGCGGCCCACAAAGTGGTTTCATGTGGCCCGCAAAGCCATCCTGGAAACAGTGAGGGAACAGCCCCCGCTGCCTTGGCCCGGGCCCAGGCCGGCCGGGAGCCAATGTACAATTCTGTGGTGGCCATCTATGCTGAAATGCATTCAGTCTTAGCTCCACAAGGCCGTCTGGAAACAGCGAGGAACCAGCCCCTGGGTGCATGCTGGGAAGGTGTCACCCTTGTGAGGAATGAAGAAATGCACCATCGCCTGGAAGTGGTCAGCAAACGGCCCTTGCCTACTTCACATATCCGGCTTGATGGGCTCCGGCGGAGGGGTTTCAGCAGGCAGTGGGGCTCCTCCAGTGGACCATGCCTTGGCACTTGCCCCGGTCCCATCCTCTTCTGCCAGAGACCCTCAGATCTGTCCCATTCCTGCCCAGGCCCCCCACAGGCACTCTTGACACGAACGATGTAGAGCTGGCCGTGCCCACCCAATAGGACACACCCACTCTGTCCATGCCCACCCAGTAGGCCACACCCAACCTGGCCCCACCCACCCGGTCTCCTGAGGGCAACCGCAATGCTGATGCGGCCCTCAATGAAATTGAGTTTGATACCCCTGGGCTAGATGGAGAAACAGCCAAATGGCAACCATATGCAGATCTTTCTCCTTAACTGTATCTCGTCATTTGTCCTGGGCAAAGGGGCAAAGAGATGGTGCACCTTCCAAGGTGAGCAGGCTGGCATGGAACTGTCTCCAACCTCTGTCTTTCCTCCTTGGCTCAGGATATCTCTCTCCGCGGAGTTACTGTTCGGCTAGATTTCAGCCTGCGGGATAACAAGACACTGCTGACGATGGTGGAGTTCTCCAGATCTTGTATCTTCCCTACTAGAAAACTATTGGGTGAGTCAAGATGTATAACAGTGGCTGGAACATCCCTTTAGTCATCCTGCTAGGTCCTTCAGCCCCAGACAAGGCTTGCAGACAAGTTCTATTTTCACAAGGACAGTGCAGGTTCTCATTTTATTTTCAAGGTATGGGAGTCTTTAGACTAAAACTAGCTCAGTTTAACCATCTAGCAGGGCCTTTGCTCTTTATAGCCTTTTGTCTCCCGCCGCCACGGAATTGTCTGTAGACCTTTCCTCTTCCCAAATCCCATTTGGATTGCTGGGGTGATTTTCTGGAGATGTCTATGGAGGTTCTCAGTCATCCAGGTCATGGTTGTCCCAAAGGTGCTTTTTCAAGAGGCAACTGGACTTTCTTGTTTTTCTTTTCGTTTTCAAATTTTTATTAATTTTCAAATAAACAAATTCTTAATACAAATATGGTGCACATAAAAAAAAAACCTATTAAACATCATATTTTCAGAGGTGATCGGCAGTCCCCCCCCGCATCCACCCTCTCTTTCACCCTTCCTACCTACTTAATAATAATAATAATAATAATAATAATAATAATAATAATAATAATAGTAAAGTTGGAAGGGACCTTGAAGGTCATCTAGTCCAACCCCCTGCTCAGGCAGGAAACCCTATACCATTTCGGACAAATGGCTGTCCAGTCTCTTCTTAAAAACTTCCAGTGTTGGAGCATTCACCGCTTCTGGAGGCAGGTTGTTCCTCTTCCTTTCCTCCCCCCCCTACCCACACCTCTCTTCTCTTCCAACTACCCTACACATCCCACCTCCTTCTTTTCCTCAACCTTCGGATGCAGTTTGGGGGTACCAGCCGACCACCTTCTCTTCACAAAAAAAAATATTCATTATTTCTCTATAACATATTAATACACCAAATTTTATATAACTCTACCCCCTTCATCCCCTTCCCCCCTCCCCCCCTGGACTTCCCAGAACTGAATACAGGGATAAGCACATAACATCCCAAATCTAAATAAAGCTACCCAAATATAATACAATCAAATATTAACATAGTTTAACTCTAACTTTCTTGTTTTTCTTTGAAGACGTTTCGCTTCTCATCCAAGAAGCTTCTTCAGCTCTGACTGGTTGGTGAGGAATGGAAGGATTTATATTCCTTGCAGACAGCTGGTCATTTGTCCTCAGGGTCACCTGAGTAGTGCAAATGGGCGTGGAGCCACCTTGGCTGCAGGATGTTTTCTGCCCTGGGTCCCTTCACGGTTGAAGACAGGCGCACAGGCTGTTGGGGATGAGTCTGTGTTGTTTGCATCTCAAACTGAAGGGCAAATGGTTCCTGTAGTCTGCAATGTTTTCTGGAAATACATTCGTGCTCCTACACCAGTTGATTTTCTGGAGAGTTTTGGCAATACCAAAGCTCATGATGTTTGGCAGTCTTGCAAGATTTCAGCCTTTTTAAACATTGCAACATTTTAATTTAATTCTGAGAAGTAGTGGCTGCTAGTGTAGGAGACTAGGGATGACTGTTGGCCAACAGTCTAATGTTGGAGGTTTGATTGTTGAACCTCCTGCTAAAGACAATTTGTTTTTGCATTACTTTGACTTGACATTGTGCTATCCACCCACGGAGGAGATATATTGGATATCAACAACCTTTTACAATTTGGGATGAAGATTTATGCCATTATTGTTCCTTCTTCATGATGCCTCCGACTGTCTCGTGTGTTTAGACAGCAATCTTCATTTTGAGATCCTCGTTTTTCAGCAGCCGACCTCATGGCTTAAACCCATATTTAGACACCCTTCCTTCCTTTTTTTAGATTTCATTTAATTAAAACTTCTGAAGCATTCGCAATTTTGCGCCCTGGTTGGTGTTTTGGTTGGTCCTCATAGTGTTCCAAGAAAACCAGTTTGGTGTAGTGGTTAAGGCATCAACCTGGAAACCAGGAGACTGTGAGTTCTAGTCTTGTCCTAGGCACAAAGCCAGTGGGGTGACCTTGGGCCAGTCACTTTCTCTCAGCCCTAGGAAGGAGACAAGGGCAGAGCACATCTGAAAAACCTTGCCTGGAAAACTGCAGGGACTGGTCCATACAGTCTCTGAGAATTGGACAGGATTGAATAAATATTTCACTCAGTTTGGGATGTTCCTTTTCAGCATGCTTTACAGCAGTCTGCATTTCAGGATTTCTTCAGCATGAGTCTTCTTTTCTGAACTGTGTGTGTGAATGTAGATTTCTGTGTGTCTGCCTTTTGTTGAAAGCTGCCTGGAATTCTTCTGTTTTTTGAAGTCGCAAGATGTAACTCAGAGACTCTGATTGTCTATGGAGATTCTCAATCATCCAGGCCATGGTTATCCCAAAGGTGCTTTTTCCAAAAGGCAACTGGACTTCCTAACAAAATGAAATTCAGTGGTGAAAAAAGTAAGGTTCTACATTTAGGCAAGAAAAACCAAATGCACAGGTATAGTATAGGGGGTACCTTGCTCAATAGCAGTAACTGTGAGAGGAATCTTTGAGTCCTAGTGGACAATCACTTAAATATGAGCCAGCCGTGTGCTGCAGCTGCCAAAAAAGCCAACACAGTGCTTGGCTGCATTAACAGAGGGATAGAATCAAGATCACATGAAGTGTTAATACCACTTTACAATGCCTTGGTAAGGCCACACTTGGAATACTGCATCCAGTTTTGGTCACCACGATGTAAAAAAAATGCTGAGACTCTAGAAAGAGTACAGAGAAGAGCAACAAAGATGATTAGGGGACTGGAGGCTAAAACATATAAGGAACGGTTGCTGGAATTGGATATGTCTAGTTTAACGAAGAGAAGGACGAGGGGGGACATGATAGCAGTGTTCCAATATCTCAGGGGCTGCCCCAAAGAAGAGAGAGTCAAGCTATTCTCCAAAGCTCCTGAAGGCAGGACAAGAAGCAATGGATGGAAACTAATCAAGGAGAGAAGCAACTTAGAACTAAGGAGAAACTTCCTGACAGTTAGAACAATTAACCAGTGGAACTACCTGCCTCCAGAAGCGGTGAACGCGCCAACACTGGAAGTTTTTAAGAAGAAACTGGACAGCCATTTGTCCGAAATGGTATAGGGTTTCCTGCCTGAGCAGGGGGTTGGACTAGATGACCTCCAATGTCCCTTCCAACTTTATCATCATCATCATCATCATCATCATCATCATCATCATCATCATCATCATCATCATCATCATCATCATCATCATTATTATTATTATTATTATTTACTATTTTTCTTTGAAAATGTTTTGCTTCTCATCCAAGAAGCTTTTTGGCTGAGAAGAGAAATGTTTTCAAAGAAAAAAATTAAGAAAACCCAGTTGCCTTTTGGGAAAAAAGCACCTTTGGGACATAGACTCTGACTGTTTTGGAAATAAACTTTGCCAGGTGGGAAGTTCTGGATTAAATGACTTCAATTCCCTGGTTGCTGGAACTTCGGTGGCATATAAATGTAATTATTTCATTGTTGTTATTCTGCAGTATGCCTTCCCAATGGAACCATGACTGCTATCATGCTCAGCTTGGATACCAAACCAGAGTTAAACCCTAACAGAACTCATCTACGGGATAAGAACTGTAGACCAGTTGCAGTTGATGACACCAAGGCCCTCTTCATTTTCTCTGTGGCCACCTGTGGTACCGTCAGAAGAGTAAGTAAGAGATGTTTGAATGTGGATGGGAGCCAGGATAATGAGGAACTTGAGTGTAGGGTAGCTGTGCCTCAGAGGATTCATCCATTATCCAAGAAGTAGAAGATGCTGCATAGAGGTCTATGGAGATTCTCAGTCATCCAGGTTATAATTGTCCCAAAGATGCTTTTCCACAAGGCAACTGCATTTTCTTGTTTTTCTCTGAAGACATTTCACTTCTCATCCAACAAGCGATGAAGCTTCTTCGATGAGAAGTGAAACTTCTTCAAAGAAAAACAAGAAAGTCCCGTTGCCTCATGAAAAAACATCTTTGGGATGCTCCATAGTGCATCTGCTCCTTCTCTGTTGTGTGGCATTGTCTTCCTTCTGACTTAAATTCTGGGGGATTTGCAAGCCTCTTATGCTGCTTTTGGTACCATGAAGAATCGTCCTATGAAGGATAAATCTAGTCAAGGAATAACTATTTGTTCCATGAAGTTTCAAAACGGGAGGATTTCAAGATCTGCAGATTTTCACTGTTGGCTTTTTTTGACTGAATCTGCATGTCAACAAGGAGTATTTCTGCAGCTGCACTGTTTCCATCACCCCCTCCAAACCTTGTGAAACAATTTAGAAATAATCATATGGATTGTCAAGGCTGAAACTTTGGCAGCTATGTGCCTCTGCGTTTCAACTTGCCTTTAGAGTAAGGGGGGAGGTGTTACTTTTGAGTGGGTTAGATAGAGAAATTAAACTTCTACAATTCTGCTGAAGACCGTGAGAGCCTGAAACCTTTTCAAGGACACCAGAATAGGTGTCGATTTGAAGCAGATGGTTCCCATAACAAAGTGAACTTGTTTATATGGACTACGTAAGATGGGGGTTTGGCTGGGAAAATTATTGTTTAAGCCTATGATTTGGTGTTGGAACCTCAAAGTTAGTTTTTCTTCGACATACCCATGCAGTGTATTCAATAAACAGTAAGATTTTCGGAAACAGGATGAACCTGGAGTTTTATTTGGATTCTCGAGCTAGAGGTTGACATTGATTTTTCAGGATAGCTGATCTTTAAATCCTGAAAATGCAGCATGAGCTGATAAGTTTCATCCACCCATCCTCATATTTATTTCAGTACAGGTAGTCCTTGACTTACAACTGCAATTGAGCCTAAAATTTATGTTGCTAAGTAAGACATTCGTTATGTGAGTTTTGCCCCATTTTACGTTTGTTAGGTGAATCACTGCAGTTATTAAATTAGTAACACAATTGTTAAGTGGATCTGGTTTCCGCATTGACTTTGCTTCTCAGAAGGTCACAAAAGTTAACCAAGCAGGAAAGGGGATGTAGCTCAGTGGTAGAGCGCATGCTTTGCATGTATGAGGTCCTGGGTTCGATCCCCAGCATCTCCACTTTTACAACTGGAAGGGGGAAAAAATACAAAATGTCACAGCCAGGAGGCAGCACTCGGACGAGCCTGGCTGATCTTTGGGAAGCCATCTCACTTCCTCTTTGAGGATGTGCGTGAACAGAAATAAATTAGAAATAAAAATCCTATCCTATCTTATACAGGTAGTCCTTGACTTACGACCACAAACGAGCCCAAAATTTCTGTTGTTAAATGAGAGATTTGTGAAGTGAGTTTTGCCCCATTTTGTGACCTTTTTTGCCTCAGTGGTTAAGTGGATCCACTGCAGTTGATAAGTTACTGTAGTAATACAGTTAAGTGGATCTGGTTTCTCCATTGACTTTGCTTGTCAGAAGGTCCCAGAAGGGGATCACGTGACCCTGGGACACTGCAACTGTCATTAAGGTGAGTCAGAAGTCAAGCATCCGAATGTAAACCACGTGATCCTGGGATGCTGCAACGGTCCTAAGTGTGAAAAATGGCCATAAGTCACTTTTTTCAGTGCCGTTGTAACTTTGAACAGTCACTAAACCAACTGTTGTAAGTCAAGGACTACCTGTACTTGGCAATTAAAAAAAAAACCTTAGTTGCCCAATGGATGCATACGGGTTGGGAGATCCTAGTATTTTGGGTGTGGGCAGGGGTAGGCAACCTTGGCTCTTTTATGACTCGTGGACTTCAACTCCCAGAATTCCTGAGCCAGCATGGCTCAGCTTGGAAACCTCTCCCTTTCCCCTCAGCGTGGCTGGCTGAGGAATTCTGGGAGTTGAAGTCCACGAGTCATAAAAGAGCCAAGGTTGCCTACCCCTGGGGGTGGGAGAAAAATGGGGCTGGGGTCTCCTCAGAAGAAGTTATGTCCTTCATGGAGTCCCACCACTTCAGAGCAACATGTTAAACCAGCTATTCCCAACTGATTTGTGTGGAAGTTGACCACTTCATGATGGCCTGGGACCAGAAGTGTGACAGTGAGTCCAACATTTTAAGATGTATTCTACAACAATTCCATGTGAATTGGGACTCTCTGTGTGACCTTGAAACCCAACCATATTGAACGTCCTTAATGCCAAAGAAGTGGAATATAGAACTTACAAAAGTTCATTTAGTAACCATTCAAAGCTACAACGGCACTGAAATAGATGATTTATGACCATTTTCCACATGACTGTTGCAGCATCCCTGTGGGTCACGTGATAAAAAATTCAGACTCTTGGCAACTGGTTCATAGTTATGACGGTCACAATGTCCCAGGGTCGCGTGATCCCTTTTGCGAGCTCCTGACAAGCAAAGTCAATGGGGGAAGCCAGATTCACTTAACAATTGTGTTAGCAACTAAACAACGGATGGAAACTACTGTAATCAAGGAGAGAAGCAACCTAGAACTAAGGAGAAACTTCCTGACAGTTAGAACAATTAACAACTGGTCTCCAGAAGTTGTGAATGGTCCAACACTGGAAGTTTTTAAGAAGAGACTGTACAGCCATTTGTCTGAAATGGTATAGGGTTTCCTGCCTGAACAGGGGGTTGGACTTGATGATCTCCAAGGTCCCTTCCAACTTTTTTTATTATTATTATTATTATTATTATTATTATTATTATTATTATCATCATCATCATCATCATCATCATCATCATCATCATCATCATCATCATCATCATCATTATTATTATTATTATTAACTGCAGTGGTTCACTTAACAACTGTAGCAAGAAAGGTCATCCAATGGGGCAAAACTCACTTAAGGACTGTCCCGCTTAGCAACAGAAATTTTGGGCTCCAATAGTGTTTGGAGTTTTGACCTCAATGGTGGGACTGCCAATATCATGCAGCAGGATTGCCCCTTGGTGGTGCATCCTTGGATTGGCATTCAACCAATCCTTCCGGTGAAGTTAAACGTTTAGCATTGTCTTTCTTGCTTTCAGCTTGAAGGGAACTACTTCATCTATGAAAACGAAGTGATTTTCGAGAGAGAGATGATTCCAGAAGCAAACCCCATCATAACCAGGGACCCTCAGTATAGGTAAAAAGCAAAAAAAAAGAAAAGAAAAAAAAGACTCTTTTAGAGCAGGGGTATCAAACTCAATTTCATTGAGGACCGCATCAGCATTACGGTTGCCCTCGGGGGGGGGGCGGGGGTGTGTGGCCAAGGTGAGTGCAGCCTACTGGGTAGGCGTGGAGGGAGTGGGTGTGGCCTACTGGGTGGGCATGGCCAGCTCTATATCGTACGCGTCAAGGGGGCCTGGGCAGGAGTGGGACAGATCTGAGGGTCTCTGGCAGAAGGGGGTGGGATCGGGGCAAGCGCCAAGGCATGGTCCATTTCTTCATTCCTCACAAAGGGTGACATCTCCCCAGCATGCACCCAGGGGGCGGGTCCGACGCGGCAGGGGCTGGTTCCTCGCTGTTTCTAGACGGCCTTGTGGAGCTAAGACTGAATGCGTTTCAGCATAGATGGCCATCACAAAATTGTACATTGGCTCCCGGCCGGCCTGGGCCAGGGCCAAGGCAGCGGGGGCCAGGGCCAAGGGCCAGGGCCAGGGCCAAGGGCCAAGGCAGCGGGGCCAGGGCCAAGGCAGCGGGGGCCGTTCCCTCACTGTTTCCAGGATGGCTTCGTGGGCCACACGAAACCACTTCGTGGGCCGCATCTGGCCCCCGGGCCTTGTGTTTGACATGTCTGTCCTAGAGGAAGATGGTCAAGCTGAGTCAATTACTGGTTATTATATCATATAATATATGTGGGTATATGCATAATTCTGTATTGATTTATTTTTGTCATATTTATGTATATGCGAGGTTGGTGACCCTTTGAGAGCTGAATGCAACGAAATTTCATTTTAATGTATGCTGATTAGTGTACATTCAAAGTGACAATAAAGTCAAAGTGTATAAAGTGACTCGGGGGCAGCTTACAAAAAATAAAAACCCAAATCTGGAAACAATAAAACAATAACTCTCTACATACACACATAAACACACATACACACACCCACACACACACGGTGACAACAATCAAACGAGCCACTTGATGGGCTCCATCTCACTCTGGATTCCTCAGGCCCATTGGCAAACAAGGTCTTTGGGGCCTTGCAAAAGAGAGTCAAAGTGGAAGCCAGTCTAATCTCTGCAGGGTGGGAGCCACCACAGAGAAGGCCCTTCTTCTGGTTCCCGCCAGATGTCACTCCTTAGAAAAGGGGACCCACAGCATTCCCTGCCTCCCTGCACTGGTGGGACGGGTGGATGTGACCGGGAAGAGATAGTTCTTCAAATAAACTGGTCCCAAGCCATGTAGGGCTTAAAGGTGACGACCAGCACCTTGCATTGTACTTGGAAGCAAATCGACAGGAGAGGTGACAGCTCTGCACACCTGCACAAAACCATGCGGACCTCTGGATTTTGAACCAATTGGAAGTTCCGGATGCTTTTCAAGGGCAGCCCCACGTAGGGTGCATTGCAACAGTCAAGACATTAAAATGTCAAATTGTACAATATCGTGATGGGAGGTGTCATGGCGTTGCTTTTTATTTTTGTCTTGGATCGCTAGATTGACTCTGCGCTGCCGTTACCGGCTCGATGAGACCCTCCGAGTATGGGCACAGCGATTACTGACGGAGGGGGTGGCTGCCAGACCCCACCCCGTTGGTGTCAAAGGTAAGAATGTCTTCTCCTGCGGGAGATCTTGAATTGGATCGTTCCTGATGGTGGCTGATGTCGTTTGATGAACAGTGCTGCTGAGATAAGCCTGGGGTGTGTGTGTATGCTTCAGTCCCTAAAGTGTGGTTAACGCAACTCCACCTAGTCACAAGAAAAGGCTTAGAAAAGGGCCCTGCTTAATGCAAAGTGACGCTGTTCCACTGAGGAATAGGTTGTAATAGAGACAGGATGCAATCTAGCCTCCTCCGTTGGCGTTTATACACCTTGCTGAGTTACCTGAACTAGACTGTTGTTTCTCTGTGTCATATAATATATGTGGGTATATGCATAATTCTATATTTATTTTTGTCATATTTATGTAGTGTATATTGGAGGTGCTGACCCTTTGAGAGCTGAATGCAATGAAATTTCATTTTAATGCATGCGGATTAGCGTACATTCAAAGTGACAATAAAGCCTATTCTATTCTATTCTATTCTATTCTATTCTATCCTATCCTATCCTATCCTATCCCATTCCATTCCATCCTATCCTATCCTATCCTATCCTATTCTATCCTATTCTATCCTATTCTATTCCAAATCTCTATTCTATTCTATTCTATTCTATTCTATTCTATTCTATTCTATTCTATCCTATCCCATTCCATTCTATCCTATCCTATCCTATCCTATCCTATCCTATCCTATCCTATCCTATCCTATTCCAAATCTCTATTCTATTCTATTCTATTCTATTCTATTCTATTCTATTCTATTCTATTCTATTCTATTCTATGCCATGCCATGCCATGCCATGCCATGCCATGCCATGCCATGCCATGCCATTCCACCATATTGTTTCTTTTATTTTGAATAAAAATAATATTTTGAATAGTTTATTGAATAAACTCCAGATAGTCCTCAGCTTACAGTGGAGCCCAAGATTGATGTTGCTAAGTGAGAAATTTGTTAAGTGAATTTGGCCCCATTTTACGACTTTTCTTGCCACGATTGTTAACTAAATCATTGCAGTTGTTAAATTAGTGACACAGTTGTTAAATGAATCTAGCTTCCCCACTGACTTTGCTTGTCAGAAGGTCGCAAAGGAGATCACATGACTCCCAGGACACTGCGACCGTCGTAAATATGAACCGCCTGTCAAGCATCCGAATATAAATCATGTAACCATGGGGCTGCTGCAATGGTCCTAAGTGTAAAAAATGGCCGTTTTTTAGTGCCGTTGTAACTTTGAATAGTCACTAAACGAACTGTTGTAAGTCGAGGACTTCCTGTATGACTAACCAAGGCACAGCCATCTGAACCAGAGTGAATTGCCCGAATCAAAACTTGAGGTTCTCTCCAGATGTTATTAGACCAATGTTTCTTAACCTTTGGCAACTTAAAGATGCATAGACTTCAACTCCCAGAATTCATTGCTGGCTGGGGAATTCTGGGGGTTGAAGTCCACACGTCTTCAAGTTGCCAAGGTTGAGAAATATTGTATTAGAGCAGGGCTTTTCAACCAGTGGTACGGGTACCACCTGTGGTACATTGGCACCTGGCAGGTGGTACGCGACCATCCTGGAAAAGTGGTAGCAGGGGAGAGGAATGAGCTGAACCGGTGGCAGCACCGCACAAGCCTGAGTGAGAGACGGCTGGAGCTGGAGGGCTGTTAGGGCTCGGCGGAAGCGCCAGGATCAGTGCCGCTTTCCAGCTGATCGGCGCTTCTTCGGGGCTGTCAGGGCTCAGCGGAAGCGCCAGGATCAGCGCCAGGCTCCAGCTGGAGCTCGGCTCTGATCCTGGTGCTTCTGCTGAGCCCAGAAGAAGCGCTGATCAGCTGAAATGTTGCAGCATCTCCAGGGTCTTGTGATTTACATTCAGATGCTTGGCAACTGATTCATATTTATGACAGTCACAGTGTCCCAGGGTCATGTGAAGTGACCAAAACCTGCTGCAACCACCACCCATCAGATGGGGGGAATAAAAACCAAACACCCCCCACCCCACCCCTGCTGCCAATCCTTAACAGAAATGCTCACAACAATGAAAACCTCGGACAGGAGGAAGAGCGCCGCCGGGCAGGCAGGCAAGCAGGTGTCTTGCTCGACTGTGGCTTGGGGGGCACTTTTTCAGTGCCATTATAACTTTGAACAGTCACTAAGTGAACTGTTGTAAGTCGAGGACTACCTGTACTTTATCACTTTTTTCCTTTTTTTGATCATCAAGTTTTTGACACCTTGCTAGGCGACGGGTGGTCCTCGGATGTTGCCATAGCCTAAAAGTGGTACAATGGGTGAAAAGGTTGAAAAGCCCTGTATTAGAGCAAGCCAGCCAACGCAGACAAATTGCAAGGAATGCTGGGAAATGTAGTGCAACCCTCTGCCAAGTCTGAAGGGAAGGGCCCAGAGGGGTCTCGCTCCCACACCCGCCCCCTTTGCTCCCCTAAATGCTGAACCCCATTTCTAAGCGGTCCAAACCAAGCCCTTTTCTACATTACTGACTGCAGGCAAAGGAGTAACTGTGTTTTCTTTTTAAATCCTTCTTGCTGGAACTTATTTCCGGCTTGCCTCTTGCAGCATCCCAGAGGAAAAGAGCTGCACATGGATGGACCGTCTCCCAGATAGCAGGTGGTGCTTCAACAGGTGAGGCTTTGTTGCTTTCTCTGAAAAACAAATGTAGTGAATGAAGGGATCAATTTTTCTTCTTTGCAGTTGTGCAGCGTAAGATTGCTAGAATTTCCTGGGTGAATATAGAGTAGAACGGGAGCTGCACGGATGAGATTTATTATTATTATTATTTATTTATTTATTATTAAATTTATTGACCACCCATCTCACCAGAAGGCAACTGTGGGAGATTTCTACGCTGCATATTTCCTTTGTGCCTGGAGCTCAACTGTGCTAAATTGGTTTGAAACTACACAAAATTTCTACTTTTTTATATCAACAACAACAACAACAACAACAACAACAACAACAACAACAACAATAATAATAATAATAATAATAATAATAATAATAATAATAATAAAGTTGGAAGGTACCTTGGAGGTCATCTAGTCCAACCCTCTGCTCAGGCAGGAAACGGACAAATGGCTGTCCAGTCTCTTCTTGAAAACTTCCAGTGTTGGAGCATTCACCGCTTCTGGAGGCAGGTTGTTCCACTGGTTAATTGTTCTAACTGTCAGGAAGTTTCTCCTTAGTTGTAGGTTGCTTCTCTCCTTGATTAGTTTCCATCCGTTACTTCTTGTCCTGCCTTCAGGCGCCTTGGAAAATAGCTTGACTCCCTCTTCTTTGGGGCAGCCCCTGAGATATTGGAATACTGCTATCATGTCCCCCCTCGTCCTTCTCTTCGTTAAACTAGACATACCCAATTCCATCAACCTTTCCTTATATGTTTTAGCCTCCAGTCCCCTAATCATCTTTGTTGCTCTTTTCTGTACTCTTTCTAGAGTCTCAATATCTTTTTTACATCGTGGTGACCAAAACTAGATGCAGTATTCCAAGTCTGGCCTTACTAAGGCATCGTAAAGTGGTATTAATACTTCACGTGATCTTGATTCTATCCCTCTGTTAATGCAGCCCAGCACTGTGTTGGCTTTTTTGGCAGCTGCAGCACACTGCTGGCTCATATTTAAGTGATTGTCCACTAGGACTCCGAGATCCCTCTCACAGTTACTACTATTGAGCAAGGGACCCCCTATACTATACCTGTACATTTGGTTTTTCTTGCCTAAATGTAGAACCTTGCTTTTTTCACCATTGAATTTCATTTTGTTAGATAGTGCCCAGTGTTCAAGTCTGTCCAGATCCTCCTGTATCCTAAGCCTGTCTTCTGGAGTGTTGGCTATTCCTGCCAGCTTGGTGTCATCTGCAAATTTGATGATTTTTTACTCCCTCCAAATCTAGACAATCATTGTATTTTTTCCCCTTTCTATCCACAAATTCTTTCCTCCATTTTTTTTCTATTTAAAAAAACCCTGCCTTTTCAGGAATACAATCAAACAATCAACCAAAAGCACTTTCTGCCATCAGAAATATGCCCTACCCCTGACAAAGAAACTTCATATTGATAATCTGGGGATTGAGGTGTGATAGTGTAAAAATGCATCTCTCCCCTTCCCCTTCCTGTACCATTTTTTACGGAAAAGCTATTGTTTGGAAATATGGAGGCTTGGCTTCTCCTGTTAAAAAGAGGGGGCAGCAAATGGCAAAATTCTAATTAAAAAAAGAAATTAATCCAGTTTTGTTTCCTTTTGGAAACCCATTTTGGATTTTGTCCTTGAAACTGAAAAAAATAAAATGAAACTCTGATTGTAAGTTTTGAGGATTAGACTGATTTTGTGGTGATAGAAATAACTTGAAACATTTAGAAATGTACAGCAAAAGGTTGAGTCTGTAACTTATTTTTGCATCCTACCGTCCTGAAAAAAAAAGTCAGAAGTCACTGTTTTACTTCTTTCTGCATTTTTCTTCTTCTCCAACTTTCTCAAATTTTGTTGCATTTGTATTTTATCTTATAACAAAGTTTAATAATGTTGAAGGAAAAATCTTCATCAGGGTCCAGTCCAAGCCGGGAATAAACAAAATGGAGACTGACTTTAGAAAGAAGGTTGTAGTTTATTGAAGAGCAGAGCCAGATAGAAACGTGGCTCTGGGAAAGCTGACCACATGTATCTGGGAGTGGTGGGTTTTTATACCTTCTTGGGCTTTTGTAGTTGGAGTTGTTCCTGTGGCATGAACTTTGACCTGAGCTTCCGTGTGCCTTTCTGGTATTTTAATGGTGGGGAGTTAATCCTATTATGTCCCAAAGGTCATATCCTGCTTCCCTGGGGCTGTGGCTGATGACTATGTCCTGGGTTGGATTTTTGGTGTGAGGGATTGTGATTCTAGAGATCTTTGTCTTTCTAATCCCATCAGCTCCAAGCTTCCTGGCTCTAATCTTTCTGACAGGATTATCACATCTGCATTTCTACAGACCTGGTTTCTGCTTGGGGCAGAGAGACTTGGGGTGGGGGGAGAGGTCCTGCCTAAGATTTTCCATTATTG